GTGATTAAAGGCAAACTTACACACCGGCCCAGTGTTACTTTCTTAATGCGCATAACTCGGTAAAAAAAATACAGTTTGGAGTGCCAATGAGACCCAAGCGAGGCCAAAACTGCAGTACAGCCTCGATGAGAAAACCTTTTGGTAGAAAAGGTTCAGTGGACTGCAGTATCTCTGTTAGGCCTACTTATTTAATTGTGAAGAAAGTTCCTAAATCAGTCCTAAATCACCTTAAGTGACCTAAGGAGACTAACTTCATAATGGCAAAGTACTGATAGTTTAAAGCATAGTTACATCCAAAATAATTCAGCAAATAGGTCTGTCATTACCTTAAGTGATGGAAAATGTCTCTTGTTTCTATAAATATAACTACAGCCGGCATGGGAACCTACCCATATGTTATTTTTTCTAGCGTGACGTTGGTCACACTTATCGTCCCTCACTTGTAGTAAAACTTGACTACCCAATAGTTTGATTGTACTACTATGAATTTGGGCAAGGAGTAGTGCAGACGACAGATGAAGAGCATTCACTTAACATTCACGGTTGAAAAAATCTAATTATTTTTCAAAAAGTGCATCAATAGACTCGGTCAAGTACAAAGAGCCAACTTGAAGTGTCGGATGGCCATTGAACTATTCCAACAAGAAGACCCATATTTGCGTGGAAGGGCTAAAGTGGCTTGAGCCGTTTGCCGGCTCTTCTCTAATATTTGTTAATGCAGCCGCTTACTTTTGCTGCTAGCAGACTTTAAGCGACTATTGCTAGACTATAAGTGTTATTGCGCTCTGGCTAGTGAGTTGCCCAATGCATACGCTTCGTTTAACGTTCATCTCGGCAAAAAAACATTAAGCTCTGATGAGGAGGTGCGAGATAATAGTTTGTCTTGAGGAGCACTTACAAAATATAGCTAATCCAAGAGATATGCTAAGCTTCTTAGCTTATAGCGTGTCATCTGAGTTTTTCAATGCAAAATTGCAAAAAAACGAAGCAAAAAAAAATAAATGTTTGCATATATACAAAGGAAAGCTTATTCTAGGCTTGGAAATATCAATTAAATTAAATTAAGTGGTTTGAACTCGTTGTCGCAACTTGGCCTTGTTGTCAGGACGACTTAATTGGGGGCTCCTTGTGGAAGTGTTCTGCCATAGTAGGTATCATAATTCGCAGCATCAGACCGTGGAATTGATACATTCTCAGACGTTTCGCCGGCATCGTAGTCGGCATCATCAGTGAGTGCGGCCATTCTCAGCACCAAGCTACGCTCACGTCAAAGCGACAAGTGAATTCAATCCCTCGACCAAGGCCTGCCGAAAACGGTTATTCTATCATTCCACTTTCTGGTAAACTAGTTACTCTCTTATTCAAATCCCAGCCTATCACAACTTCTGAATTGTTCACATTCCACTCGTCAAAATGTGTGCTCTTTTTGGCAAATCTAGTGTGACCTCATCACACTCCTGCTACTCACCCTGACTCGCGTCTCCAATCCAGATCTCCCTCATGAACTACTGACTCACCAAGAAGAGCGTATAGGCTCTGATTCCCATGCATGCAGACATCAGGCATTACCGTCACGGGTCGTCTCCTTGATTAAACTAATATTATGAGATGTATTCACCATATTTCGGTTCAGATGATGAAGGACTGGTAGTGGAATTTTCCCATAGTGATATGAGTAGAGCTAGCATTTCCATTGAATTTCATATAGCTGGAGTGGACTGCCATTTCAACCGCGCATAGGAATATGAGAGCTGACGTCAGCTGTACTACCCGTCCTTCATCACCTTAAACGAAATATGGTGAATACATCTGATATTACTGATTTACTGGTAGCCTCGAATCTCTACTTACATACGAAAAATAAACCCGTGTTACATGAGCAAACTCTTAACGCTTATCTCTGGTCGTATGCAGAATGTCAAGTGGATTTTTAGTACATTTTGTGTGTCGGTTTGATTATCCGAGCTTTTGGTAAAATATATGAACAACTACTTTGCAATCAGGCAGTTTGGAAGAATTTCTTAATTTATTGAAGAGATTAGATATAGCGTGTGAATTCACAATTTCGTTAGAAAAGGATAGTAAGATACCCTTTTGAGATGCTCTGGTTAGCAAAGAAGAGAACAACTTTGTTAGAGGTGTGTTTTTGAAACTCACAAACGAAGCTGAAGCTCTTTTTTTATTTTCTTATCATACTTATCGCGTTAAAGTAGAGGATATGAAATCACTTATAGTAAAAGCTTTGTGCCTAGCATGCATGAATCACCAGGAGTAAAAGATAGGAATGCTAAGATAAATCTTTGTTTATGAAAATTATCCATCAGGATTGTTTTTCAGTAATTTCATAATACTAAGAAATAGAATGAAGGAGAGCATTTATTTAGAGCAGAAAGGAATTGGAATGCACAGTATCCATGTTTCTGAGGCTACCATTCTGACAACTTTTGAGAAATATAGCTGAATTTCTGAAAAAATGTAACTTTAGGCTAATATATGAAGAAAGAGAGGAACTTTACTCGGTCATGCCTTCTTTTAGAATGTAAGGTTTTTGTGCTCATGTAGTAACGTCTATGTGGGGGTTAGAGGAAACCAATCGCGACTTCCAGGATTAATTGATTCATAAATTGGACATAGCTAAACCTATCATCACTAC